AATAAATTAGATATATTCAATGGCGACAAGCAAGTATAATTAAAAAAGCAATAGAACATTTGTAGGGGCGGTCTATAGACTTTCACGCGAGCCTGGTTCTTTTATTGTCATGCATTTTCACACCAATTACAAATGTTATGCAAATTATATACAATTATATGCTGGATTGCAGTCTAAATTTATAGTATGTAATACCAGCATAATGAGGGTAAAATAGGTGCGAATTGGTGTAATTCATTATCGATCATTTTTAATCTACTCTGTTTTCCAGTACAAACCTGGGGAATAGTATACTGAGTTTGGCGAGGGCCATTAGACAGACCGTGTCATGTTACAAGTAGTCTCACTTTGGCGTAATGCTCCTAAAATGTTACACATTTTTCGTTTGCCATTTTCAAGGCCATTTGGACCTTTATTTTCTAAAACATTGTTCAGTTATCCCAATATTTTTTTCATTTTTTAGTACTAAGTAGCATGAATCTAAAATAATAGAAATACGATGAAGATGATATATAATGTTTAACTTGGACCAAACCTTCTTAAACCTATTCTCAAGTGACTATTTGGAAACCTTAAAAAAAAAGCAGGTCATATTAAGTCACACAGACTTTTCAGATATTTGCGTGTTGATGGTAGTCTTATTGTCACGCATGGCTGTATCAATTACAACCTTTATGCTCTCATTTTGTATAAGACTGGCTCTCTGACATAGAGCAGATAAATATATCTCATCGTCTCTAGCATTCTGATCTACAGGAAGATAATACTAATACACGACGTAATTCTATTACAGGCGATTAGATTTCCAATGAACTGTGACAGTCTAATGTTCAGAACGACAACATTTAGTGACCATTATTTCCATTGAGAACCAATTTCCTTTCTTGCGTTTTTTGGTGAAACATCAGGCAGACCATAATTGCATGCACCTGGTCGTCTCACCTTGACGTCATGCTGCTATTATTGTGTTTAACTCCATGCTGATACTTTAGATAACGAGGACTGTACTGTAATATTATGTGATTTATAGTACTGGTGTGATCACCAACCACATTTCCTGTAAAAATAAAAATAAAAATAAACAGTCTGTACACAAATCACTATCAGTACAAAAATATTGTTGCATAAAAAGAGAGCTAATTGTTTTGTCCCACTGCTGGCCATTTTGACACAAAACCCAATTTTAGCAGCTACATAAATTAAAACATTATTTACTGCAATTTGGGGGTTATTTGTCTTCCCGGTGTGACAATTACTCACCGAGTCGACGTGATATGACAATAGTGAATACTCTCACTAGTGTATTTTTATAGGACGACGTTGGTAAGTTGTTTGTTGCGTTTGGATGAATTTACATTTGGGAATACAAATGCCTTCTCTGTATATTAACTTTGGACAAATGCATACTAAAAATATTGTATAGCTGGATCGTGTATGTATCTTTTTACAATGTGACGCCCTCTATGTTTCATTTGTTAGTTTTCTAGTTGCGGATTCATAACAATAATAGATACCATTGATGGCAGCATACGTGTAATGGTAGATTCAAGATTCAGAACTCACTACTGAACCAAGCATGTGAATACTTACACTAGGTAACCAACTGAAACCTAAATCTTTGATACTCACTAAATCGGATCCACCCTCTTAGTAAACTCAATCTGGAGCAATACTGAAAACAGGAGACTATTTGTATAACTGGCTACTTTGAAAGATCAGATGATGATAGGGCACTTCAAGACTTCAAAAAACAGTAAAGCTAGAAGAAGGAAGATACTAAGTTAAATGACCATAGAAATACAGAACTGCCAGACAATTACAACTTAACATACATTTCAAGTCAATTATCCCGAAACTTTTAAAGAAATATAAGTAAATTATTAGAGAGGAAGAAAAGAGAGGAATAATTGAATCAGTACCACCAAACATTGAAGGACGTACAAGGAAGCACTACATTCCTCACCACCCTGTTTTCACTCCAGGCTAAAGAAACAAAAAAAGTTAAAATTGTATATGATGCATGACCAGAACGAGTGACAAACGCCTAAATATATCAAAGGCCTATAATTTTAGAAAATCTCTGTGGTCTTCTATTACGATTCCAGATTCATAAAGTTGTCCTGGTAGCAAGGATTGTGAAAGCATTTTTGTCAATTAAGTCTGCAAATGCCAGATATAGATGTGACTAATTTTTTTCTAGTTAAAGAACAACACCAGTCAAAAGTTGGAAGGTAATGTACAGGTATACCGTTTCTGTCGAGTTCTATTTGGCATAATATCTAGCCCCTTCCTACTGGGTGCTAGTATGATGAATTTGTTTTTGCGTATCTGTTGATCGACTTAATTAGCTGATTATTAGCGAATGGCTGTGTTATGTCTGTCATCGTTTAGGCAGGCGAGGTCCTGGACGGAACTTAACTCAGTGATTTGGAACTAATTACGAGATAACCGTCGCTATTCGGACTACTATTTCTGACAGTTGGTATTCGTAGTTATTAATGTAGTGAACGATTAATCAATAGGATATGACGTATTCAGTACTTAGTGTGATTGGCCTTATGATCGAAGGTTACGCCCTAGAGTCTTTTTTCTGCTTTGTAATTGGTTAGAGTTTTGAAAATGAATAAAGTTGTTTTAGTTGGTCTTGGCGAGTACAGCACGACAGACGCAGTCCAGTCCTGGAGAGTCTTGGGCTAGTCTTGGGCCAGCCTTGCGATAGTCTTGGGGATTTCTCCCCAGGGCGCTGTGTCTTATAGAGTGCTCGATTGACCGACTAAGACGAGAGTTGAAACGTATTTTGTTGTGTGTGTCTTATTTGACTGTAAAGCTCAAGTGACTTTCCCTATCCCGCACCTCAAGGGGACGAGATATAGAGACGAGACGAGATTCCCCCCTGACACGTGTGGAGAACCCCAGCGAAAAGAATTCCCCCCTGATACTAGTATAACACATCATTTTAATGCATTGAAGTTAGTAAATAATATATATGTGGATAACGTATTTACTGGATGCCAATCTCTCGAAGAAGCCCTCAACCTTTATAATGATTAAAAAGCCATGTCTAATACTGCATCTATGAATCTCTGCTTCTGGGCATCGAACTCGCACAAATTCTTGGACCACATTCCTCAACATAATTGTGCCGATAAAGGTAATCACAGTTGTAGGCATATCCTGAGATACTATTAAAGACTCCTTAAGAAATAATGTACTTAACATGGACAAATATTCTTGTGTTTCAGCCAAGAGAGAAGTACTGCAAGCAATAACTTGTAAACCGTATCCTGTAAAGAATTTAGTTACCAGCTTATTGCCTTCTGTGATTCATTGGCGCGAGCGTATGCAGCAACTGTTTACTTACGTAGTGTTACTGAAGACTCGTGTAAGGTGAAGTTGGTGTTTTCAAAGTCTCGTCTTGGCCCCCAGATTGGCGTACGAAGTCTAAACTTTGTGAAAACTCCAACTATCAGTCACAAAGCGGATTATATGGCCAGACTCTCAGTGTGTATTTAGCTAGATAAAATCTAAGAAAGTGCTGTCAGTATTTGTTGAAAACAGACTCAAAGAAATCAGGTCTAATGACATCTACTTCAGATATAATCCATTGGACAATGCAACAAAGGTGGATGACTTTTAAAGAGCTTGTAAACACTGAAAATTGATGGAATGGTCCAATTCGGTTGACAGCTTTAGAGGACATTTGGCCTTAACAATGGTCATCTCAGACAATTTCGACTCTGGGAAATATGCACACAAAGTACCATACGAAGTGGGACTGATTTCTGGTAAGCAGATTACAAGTATTGTTCCTTCTTGCTCAAACAAGTGTAAACATAGAGATTATTAGAGACAAGGGTCACGCCTTCTCTGACACGCGATTTTTGTTGATATCTCTATTTTTGGATCGATGGATAACAGATTCTGAATATATCATGGTTATTTATTAGGAAAAGAAATAATCATAATAAAAACTATATTAAATATATACATAAACGTGTTTGGGAAAATAGGTCATCTATGAGGTATATAGTAAATAATAACTGAATATTAAAATTATGTAATAATACTGCTACATAATAGTTGTCAATTATAACATTCTTACATTAAGTGATATGCTTGGACATAGTATTTTAGTAAAACAAAAAAGAAATATCAACATAAATACTGCATTGTTATTAACTTGTTACCAATATAGTTCAGTATAACGTAATAGAGTGACGTAACAGCGTTGCTGTTGCAGTGGTTTATCAGATCTGATCTTGGAATACAAAGCATTACGCCACTTCATTTTGATTTGATTTGTAAACTACAAATTACAGTTTTCACATATACCATTTTGAAAAAATACAAAAGTGTAATTAAATATTTAAAAGTAAACAAAATACTGAAAACTATAAAGTACTTATTGTCTTATTTGCTCGCCAGTGATTTTGTCTGTGATTCCATTATGTGACACAAAGAAATGTGTTAGCGGAACGTCCGCCGCTGTAGCAAGCACTTAGATCGGTCTTATATGGTCAATATATGAAATATATTAAACGTTATATACAAGTACTACAATATCATGGTTTTGGAATCAAATAATACAGTTTTACACTGATCAACGCAAATACAGAGATGTATAGTTATAAAGTACAACCACTTTCCAAATATCTGATTCGAATGCGTTATCCTCAATTACATGTTGCGATGTGATATTGTCACCGACGTGTGGTTATGTGCTATACTCACGTTCAGCGATGTGATATTTCACTGAAATGTGGTTATGTTATATTCGCACTGACACGTGACGATGTTATTTTTCAATGTGAATAAATGAGTATTTGAATTAACACGAAAGTAGCATATACAAATGTGTTGGTTTTAAAACCGCCAGCCCCAATGTATAAATGAATCAAAACAAGTGAGTGTACAAAGTGCATTCTGGGTATACACGCCATATTTAAATGACGTCAATACACGTACAAATATAATTTCCATCGATCGAATCATGGCGGTTTTCAAAAACTTTCCTTTGAAAATTTAAAATTAAATTTTTCACAGTGTGATTTTATAGTTTTACCCAAAGCAGGTGAACCACAAAAAAATATCTTGACTTTTCCACGTCTTTCTTCTGCAATCTTTGAAAATAGCTGCAATATAAGTTGAGCATATTTTAGTATGTATATCTAAAGCATATTACAAGTGCGATAATCACAGTTTATCTATGTATAAAAAGTAATTCTAGCTGGATAGTGGAGTTGATGAGGTTATTATCAGTAATGAATCAGTGGCAAATTCTAATTGAACTATATCTAGTTCAGAGTGGTCTGTCAGAATGTTCTGTCATTTGTTTATTAACACTTGCATGTAACATTCTTCAAATGCTTGCGATTCATTGCAGGGAAGTGATCATAACACTGTGGCCATAATAATGGAAATTAGGCTTACAATTATGGGACACGTTAATTTAATGCGTACAGCGCCATCACACGAGGAACTTTAATAGGGTTTTAATACTTTTATCTTAAATTGATATTGTTATATGGACAGCAATGTTGCCACTTTGTCACAATCTACATACAATTTATGAGATGTTATTTGCGTATTTTCGAAATGGTAAATCGTTTATTTTGTGTAATCAATTATTTAAAGCGGGGGAGTCGTCACCTGCGCATGCTTCAGATTGCCAAAGCGTGTCATTGTTTACAAACAAGCGTCTACCCATGAGCCTTTGCTTTTTAGCGTGTGTTATTATCGTCACTTGGGACTTAATGCCCGCGTATGCCAGGTGACGACCCTCCCGCTTTAACTGTATGTTTGTAATTCCAATCTGATCACAACCGTTTAACTAATTTATATATTATTGCATACATATTAGTGTTGCTGATAATAAATAAAATAACATTAGATGAAGTAAAGAGCATGTAAGAATACAATCCCCTTTTTAAATGTAAACGACAAATTATATATGTTTATACATGCAATAATATTACAACGACAATAACAATGTTGATTATTTTTGGATAACTCTCATCTTATAATGCATTGGTTCATACTATATTTGAGTACATACCTTATTCCATTCTGGCCTTCCTGGTTGCGTCCTCGTCTTCAGACCTGTGATTAAATCGCGGTTCGACTTTTTGTGTAACAAGTCTAGCGCCATCTGTAGTCCGATTCCTTTCATATCTGTTTTGCCAAGGGCTGCTGTCATAAACATGTGCAGCTCGAGAAATCTGTCAAATGAGCCTTCCTCTGCTTGCTCCAACTCTAGCTGCGTCAACAAGCTGACAAACCACTCAAAACACTTCTGGTCTCGATTTATCCAGATAAAGTCAACCTTAAATAAACACAATAGTATTGAAAGAGGTATTAACTAAATGAGCCAAGTGTTAATTAAGTAGTTGTAACTCTACAATAAAAACATAATGAAATTCTTTCGTTTGATGGAGAAATACAGTATTTTGAACAAGCAAAATTATATTACGAGCAAATGTCTGTAAGGATCAAACAATGGTGGCAGGGGTCAAAAATGGATTTGGCTCATATTTTGCACAGTGATAGTACTTGGTCAACCCCTCAAAATAGCTTTCTTTTAAATCAAAACTCCTTGTTGCCATGGTAACGGGCAAATAAAACTTTCTGGCCATTTTCCCCATTTTTTGCATCTCAAAAACACGGAAATCAGCATAATTCACGGAATTGTTACTGCCACAGCTTTGAACTTATCGTCAAAACAAAACAAGATCTGAATAATCCAACATTTTGGCTTTTTGAACATTGTTTTGGAAGTTTGAAAGAAATAGACTTCAGTTTTTGGGCAGCCTGAAAACAATGCAATGTTTCGAGCTTCTAAAAAATGTAATTTTTTGCCCAACTTTGTAATGCTATAAGTGTCGCTCTGGTATTTTTATCACTTGAAATTTCCACCATGCATAGATAATTGAAATATCTTTCAAATATTATTTTTCAAAATATGGTAACTCGTTCGGTTGTCACGTGACTGTCCCTTAAAATAGGCCACTTTTTGTGTTTGGAGAAAATTGTGAACTTTAGCCATGTTTGAAGTACGCTACATGACGAAGTAAAATATTATTTTTCTAATTCAACTTAATATCAAAGGTGAATCTATGTATTGTCTATCAAATGAATGTTTGCAGAGCTTTGGGTCATGACGTTCGGTCACGTGGTTGTCCCTGAAATTAGGCCATTTTTTGCATTTGACGAAAATTGTGAATTTTAGCGCTGTTCATCGTACACTTCGTGACGAAGTGAACAATAATTCTAATTCAACTTTCGGTCAAATGTACATCTATGTTTTGTATATCAAATAAATGCTTGTAGAGTTTGGGGTCATGACGTTCAGTCACTTGGTTGTCCCTGAAAGTAGGCCAATTTTGGCATTTGACGAAAATTTTGAATTTTAACTTTGTTCAACGTACGCAATGTGACGAAGTGAACAATAATTCTAATTCAACTTCTGGTCAAATGTACATTTATGTATTCTATGGTTAAATAACTGCTTGTAGAGTTTCGGGTCATAACGTTAAGTCACGTGGTTGTCCCTGAAAGTAGGCCACTTTTTGCATTGTGAATTTTCAAAGTACGCTACGTGACGAAATGAAGAAGAATTCTGATTCAACTTCTGATCAAATGTACATCTTTGTGTTTTTTTTACTGAATAAATGATTGTAGAGTTTCGGGTCATGACATTTATTCACATTGTTGTCCCTGAAAGCAGGTCACTTTTTGTGCTCGACGAAAATTGTGAATTTTAGCCATGTTCAAAGTATGCTGTACCTGACAAATCAGGATTCGAACTCAACTTCTTAAGGCAGTCATCTATGTGTTGCCTATCAAGTAAATGCTCGTAGAGTTTTAGGAAGTGACGTTTAGTCCCGGAAGTCTCTGAAAGTAGGCCATATTTAGACATTGTGTATCAACTGAATGTTAGAAACTTTTGTTCTCGTGTTAGTGTTTCTTTTGATATGCATTATAGAACATAGCCGAATTTAAAACAATATCTTAGTTTATTTATTACAAATTGATATTTACACTTATAACAGAGTCGGCGCTTAACTAAACTTTAGGATAACACTGTAAGTGCTTTATCAGTCATTGTAGTACCCATATAATATACATTGGACATTGACATCTCCTCTTTGCCAAGTCACAAAGGTTGAATGTATCGTACAGGACAGGGTGACATAGTTGGACGTTGGTGATGATTTCCTCCTGTATGCGACTATTAGAAGATTCGATTACAGCAGTGTCCTGTTGCTCCTCCTCCTCAGAATCTTCTGAAGCTTTACGGCGTTTAGCTGCCAGTCAGGAGAAATAGCTAGAGACTTGCTGGCCAGTCAAAAAGTCCCACACCTGGAATAGCCGTTGGCCTTGTGCATCACGCGCATGTCCCATCACTTTGGACACAGTAATCGGGTCTGACTTTCGTCCAGTAGCTTGTCCAAGCCGAAACCGCTTATCAAGGTACTCATTTTGCTTGTGGCTAAACCTGACAGCCTTCTTCGGACTGCACAGTGCCAATCCTTGCTATGGGCAAGGTGTTGTTCTATTTAAGAATGGCTCTACATGTGGCACTTCTCACGGGCCTTGCGCAAGCTTTTCTGCGTACTTCAACTTTGCCTTGCTTTCCGACAGCTACACGAGCTTCCAGACCTTTGCATGTTTGATAAACCTTGACGCAGCTCTCTTCTGGACAAGGGAAAATGCTGTCAAGGCTGGGTTGCACAGTTTCATGACTTGTCGCATCTTCATCAGAATCTGACTCTTGCACCTTCATCTGCCTGGACTTGATGGGTTGAAATGCAGAACCAGGATTTGACGGCTGACTGACAATTTTCAGCAGCGGTGGTTCTATGGCAGGCAATCGCATCCAAGGCACAAGATTCCTTTCCCCGATGTTGTATGCTCGCCAGACATGTAGACTTGCATCACTAAACTCAAAGTTATTGAGTTTGGTGATTCCATACAGTTTTATGGATGTCGCTGCAACACCTGCACCCACTTCACACAGAAAGAATTTAACTCCTGGGATTCCACCACAAGACTCTACGGCAATCTTAAATTCCTCGGCCGTCTCAACACTGTGGCCCTCATTGATCCAGGTCTTGATGTGGGACTTCACTGTTGCTGCCTGTTTGCCATGACCCTTTCCCTTTGTGGGTCGCAATAGTCCACTCGTCTGATTGTGACTCCTGCCGTTTCGTTGATATGCCTAGCTGCTTGAAGTATGAGTGTGTTGTGATAACACCCAGCATTGTCACGTGACTAAACATTACGATCCAAAACTCAACAATCATGCATTTAATAGGCAATACATAGATCTACAACTGACTAGAAGTTGAGTTAGAATTCTATTTCACTTTGTCCTGTAGAGTACTTTGAAGATGGCTAAAACTCCAAATTTTCGCCTAGTGCAAAAATATGGCCTACTTTCAGAGACAACCATGGGACTATATATTACGACCCAAAACTCTACAAGCATTTGTTTGATAGGCAATACAAAGATCTACATTTGACTAAAAGTTGAGTTAACGTTCTGTTTTACTTTGTCCAGTATAATACTTTGAATATGGCTAAAATTCCGAAATTTCGCCTACTGCAAAAAATGGCCTACTTTCAGGGACAACCACGTGACAAAATATTACGACCCGAAACTCTACAAGCATTAATTTAATAGGCAATCGTAGATTCACATTTGAATAGAAGTTGAGTTAACGTTCTATTTCATTTTGTCCCGTAGAGTACTTTGAACATGGCTATAATTCAAAAATTTCGCCTACTGCAAAAATGGCCTACTTTCAGAGACAACCATGGGACTAAATATTACGACCCGAAACTCTACAAGCATTAATTTAATAGGCAATCGTAGATCTACATTTGACTAGAAGTTGAGTTAACGTTCTGTTTTACTTTGTCCAGTATAATACTTTGAACATGGCTAAAATTCCAAAATTTAGCCTAGTGAAAAAAATGGCCTAGTTTCAGGGACAACCACGTGACTAAACATTAGACCTAAAACTCTACAAGCATTTATTCGATAGGCAATAAATAGAGCTACATTTGACCAGAAGTTGAATTAACGTTCTGTTTTACTTTGTCCAGTATAATACTTTGAACATGGCTAAAATTCCAAAATGTCGCCTAGTACAAAAAATGGCCTACTTTCAGGGACAACCACGTGACTAAACATTACGACCCGAAACTCTACAAGCATGTATTTGATAAGTCATGCATAGATCTACATTTGGAGGGAAGTTGAGCGTGAATTCTATTTTACGTTGTCATGTAGAGTACTTTGAAGTTGGCTTACATCCACAATTTTGGCCAAACGCAAAAGATTACCTACTTCTTGGGACGTCCACGTAATAACAAAACAAGTTACCAAATTGTGCAAGATATTATTTGAAAGATATTTCAATTATCCATGCATGGTGCAAATTTCACGTGAAAAAATACCAGAGCGACACTTATAGCATTACAAAGTTGGGCAAAAAAATTACATTTTTTAGAAGCTCGACCCATTGCATTGTTTTCAGGCTGCCCAAAAACTGAAGTCTATTTCTTTCAAACTTCCAAAACACTGTTCAAAAAGCCAAAATATTGGTCTATTCAGATTTTGTATTGTTTTGACGATAAGTTCAAAGTTGTGGCAGTGACAATTCCGTGAATTATGCTGATTTCCGTGTTTTTGAGATGCAAAAATTGGGGAAAATGGCCAGAAAATTGTGTTTGTCTGTTACCATGGCAACAAACAGTTTTGATCTAAAAGAAATCTATTTTGAGGGGTTGTGGACCAAGTTCTACCACTGTGCAAAATATGAGCCAAATCGATTTTTCGACACCTGCCACCATTGTTTGATCCTAACAGACATTTACTCTTAAATGGTGGTGTTCACGAGTTGTTGGACAGGCTACATACTTTAATAATTTTATTCATATAATTCAAAACAAATGAAGAACAAAAATATAGAGAATATAGCAGATTATTATATATTCCTGAATTTTCTTGCCAAAATCAGTTGCCTTCAGGATTATTTCTACAACGTCAACGGAAAACAAAAACCCCAAAATACGCACTTTTCATAGATATTTATAATCACAGTAACATATATATGTTCGGAGAAAAAAATTCCACTTGCGCTATTTTTTTTCCTGTATTTAATTTTAGTTTTAGGGTGTTTTATTCAGTAATTATGTTTATTATTTTTTTATTTTAAAGTTTCAAGGCAGGTTCGTTTTAATCTAAATGAGTTTATAAAGTCTCAGATAATAAAAACAAACCGATTTAGTATTTGTCACAAATTGTGAATTTTATCCAAAATGCAAAGAACAGAGCAACTCGACTATAAATATACCATACATGTATATGACCGCCGACAAGTAATTGGAAGCGAGCAGTCATGTGACTTGTTTCTTTCCCTGAAATGTGTTTTATTCCATCCCTTCATCGCATCCATTCATTGCATTGATCAAAGGGCAGTAAACGAGACAACGGGATAGAATATAACACTGTTGAAGGTAAATAACAAGTCGCGTGACTCTCGCTTTCGAGAGAGCCGCCGGGTATACATTTGCATATAAACACTCGATCGATGAGATTTTAATATCGTAGTTACCTTTTGAAGCCTCATAGTGTCAGCTGGAATATCCGTCATCCAGGAATGGCTACAGTTTGGGCATGTCTGTTTGTTCTTTTTATATTGATACATAACACTCTGTAATATTGACGCAAACGGTGTCACTCCAATGCCTGCACCAATCAGCACTGCGTGTTCCGCTTGAAATATCTGCCTCGTTGGTGTACCGTAGGGACCATCAACATAGATCTAACAGGAAACAAAATGATTTATTTCATATAAAACTGATCCATTCTGTTGTATTTGGGTTAAAGTGATCAACTCAAGTTACTAAGACACTGTATTGTGTGTTGATATTTCTAGCTCGGATGTTTTGTAATATGTATTTAAATATTACAGTTGAGTTTTTCGAGGCAAATATCTCAATATTAATATATAGCAACGGATGAGTGCACTTACTCTTACATGCCGATCCAATGTGCTGGATAACGCAATACTTTCTTTACGTGACTTTTTTCGTTTCCTCGTAGATGACTAAAGATGATAAAATAAATGATTCAGCCATGATTATGGTAAATGGTTTATAGGGATTTTTTTCTTTTGTCTAAACTAAGTATTAAACCAAAGGTGTTATAGAGAATCACTCGTCATAACATTCAGATTTTGATTTGGTCGTGCGCTTGTGATCAAATAACACTGTTATATCTCAGGTGACATCATTGTCACGTGACCATTATGTGTCAAACAGAAACCATATAATTTTATAACTCAGTAGGACATATGGTAGGTACCACATGTGGCGCAGGATGTGCTCACTCCTTTTGAAACATCTGACATCACTTCATGTATATCATGAGTTTGTAACTTGTAAAGTTCCCTATTCGACTTCGTTAACAAATTTACGGTTGGGTATGTTATTTTTTTATGTCACGTGCAATGTCACGTGATAACTTACGTCACAATCCGTTGTATCTTCAGCGTTGTACAAAGTACCTCTCTCAACATAAACGTGTGAAGATGGCATTCGTCGAAATCCTATTAACTGTGGTTGGTCTTCATTTGGATTTGGCGATGATGCTGGTGATATTTCCGCCATTATAGCAGTTTCCTTATTTTCTGGTGTATCAATAGACTCTGTTATATTTGTTGGTTCAGCGCACACTGTTGCACCATTGGATAAGGGCGTCATTGCAATATTACTGTCCGTCGTAACTTGGTTATCATCCGGGTTATCAACTGGAAGTGCTACGTTCTCACTGGTTAACGTACCATTTTGAATCTCTTCCTCAATGTCCATTGCAATATTCACTTCACCTGGCTCATCCCTATTCGCTGCATGTAACCTTTTTTGCTCACGTTTCCGTTCTTCGAAATATTTATAGAGTCTGTTCGTCCACTGACCTGCTGATCTAACATGCACCCACAACGTTCCTAGTGCAAAAAAAAACAAATCAAATATGTTGCTGTTTTTGTACACCGATTCAACCATAATGTTTTGATATTCTGCAATCTCTATTGAGGTACCATTGCTAGATAACACATACGGTATATTTATTCATTAATATAGATATGTATGTTTATATGTATGACTGATCTAGAGTCGAGTATTTTCAAGTGAGGGGACTTACCTTCTTGTTCTGGTGGACTACTGATTGTAAATGGATGCCACTCGTATTTAGCAATGGCCGGGATCTGTATGTAGATGTAGTCACCAGGTCGATAGTGAAAATTGGTAGGTCGGGTAATAACCAGGTGCGTCACCTGAAACATAAAAGTAATAGTGAATGAAAAGTTGCACGAATCCCTGATGTAATCAGTAATATGAATTTTAAGGTATTATGATCACGCCTGAAATTAGCAAGTAAACATAATTCATGCTGGGCAAAAGCAAGTTCAGTTCGTACTGTAAAACTCTGTCTGAGTGTGGAAAGTTTGAATCATCATACTCACGCCTGAAGGTAACAAGTTCACTTCATCAATGTACGTCTTCCCATATCGTGCTGTCTTCACAAGTTTCGACCGTGCTATTTTTTCAATAAGGAATATTGCACCTGGTGCTATGAACCATTTCCAGAACCTTGGACCATGAACCAATAAAAATGCCCAGAACCAGATGTATAACAAATGAGTCCAATAGAACACCTAAAACCAATAATTATATATATTATATATGTAACAGCAATGATGATTGTTGACAAATTCATGCTGATTCAGGGTAAATAAAACATGGAATTTGAATAAGAGAATAAAGATGTCAGATAAAATCAGCAGTAAATAACGATTACAGGTTAAAAGCGCTAAGCAAATAATCAACATTTCTTCAACAAACTGTATTCACTAAATGGATTGGCGAGTTTTTAACTCTTCACATACAAAACATACCATATATAATTTTAATTTCGAAATTCAGAAATTTGACTTCCATCACAGTCAACGAAATGCATAAGCCAGGCTATTTAATGGCAATTTCAAGTTTTGCATTCACTGTAAATGTATTCAGTTAATTTATACGAGAGAAGTACGTAACTATACAAAAGCAAACATTGTTTCTCCTGTATGTTAAGAGAACAGCATAATGTAAAAAAGAAATCCTCAAATATGTATTTTTTTATATTATTTTTAATACTGACTGTTGCTGCAAAATAGTATACATTGATTAGGAAAATTAATTCAAAGTCATTGATGTCAAATGCTCAACGATTATACAACTTATGCTAAACTATTACTGATTCGTGTTACATTGTGTTTACACGTACCTGAAAATATCCACTTCGTCTAACAAATGGCATTGAACACACCACCATAATGATAAGTATTAAGTCTAATATCCAACCAGTGATATACGCTGTGCCATAATGCCAGTCGACACTGCCTACCATTGCTTTAGTAGTGAATAAACATTCCCAGATTTTGAGGCCAAGCAAATCATGATAGGCAACTACAAACAAAGAGGAAAGTTATGATGCGTTTAAAAATACATATTTAAACTGTTTTGATATCTGATAACCCTAATGCACATGTCATTTGCTTCCGGATGTGGTAGACATCTCATGAGGTCTATACATCAGTATTTGAATGAAGAGCGTAGCATATTTCATAAAATTATAGAGTTGTCTATGCTCTAAGAGCTATGCTGCTTCCCTGACTGCTCCACTCCAAAGGCTACTCTGCCTTCACCTCTCTCAAAGCTACTCTGCCTTCACCTCTCTCACAACTACTCTGCCTCTATCTCTCCCAAAGCTACTCTTCCTTCACCTCTCTCAAAGCTACTCTGTCTTCACCTCTCTCACAACTACTCTGCCTCTATCTCTCCCAAAGCTACTCGTCCTTCACCTCTCTCAAAGCTACTCTGTCTTCACCTCTCTCAAAGCTACTCTGCCTTCACCTCTCTCAAAGCTACTCTGCCTTCACCACTCCCAAAGCTACTCTGCCATCTCGGCTCCCAAAGCTACTCTATCTTCACCTCTCCCAAAACTACTCTGCCTTCACTTCTCCCAAAGCTACTCGGCCATCTCCGCTCCCAAAGCTACTCTGTCTTCACCTCTCTCAAAGCTATTCTGCCTCCACCTCTCTCAAAACTACTCTGCCTTCACCTCTCCCAAAGCAACTCTGTCTTCACCTCTCCCAAAGCTACTCTGTCTTCACCTCTCTCAAAACTACTCTGCCTTCACCTCTCTCAAAGCTACTCGGCCATCTCCGCTTTCAAAACTACTCTGCCTTCACCTCTCCCAAAACTACTCTGCCCTCACCTCTCTCAGAGCTACTGTTTCAACCTCTCCTGGAGCTAATCTACCTTCACTTCTCCTAAAGCTACTCTGTCTTCACCTCTCTCAAAGCTACTCTGTCTTCACTTCTCTCAAAGCTACTCTGTCTTCACCTCTCTCAAATCTACTCTGTCTTCACCTCTCTCAAAGCTACTCTGTCTTCACCTCTCTCAAACCTACTCTGCCTTCACTTCTCTCAAAGCTACTGTGTCTTCACCTCTCTCAAAGCTACTCTTATTTCACCTCTCTCGAAGCTACTCTGCCTTCACCTCTCCCAAAGCTAATCTGTTTACACTTCTATCAAAGCTAATCTGTCTTCACCTCTCCCAAAGCTACTCTGTCTTCACCTCTCCCAAAGCTACTCTGTCATCACCTCTCCTAAAGCTACTCTGTCTTCACCTCTCCCAAAGCTACTCTACCTCCACCTCTCTTAAAGCTAATCTGTCTTCACCTCTCTCAAAGCTACTCGGCCATCTCCGCTCCCAAAGCTACTCTGTCTTCACCTCTCCCAAAGCTACTCCGTCTACATCTCTCAAAACTACTCTGCCTTCACCTCTCTCAGAGCTACTGTTTTAACCTCTCCAGGAGCTACTCTGCATTCATCTTTGTCAGAGCTACTCTTTCACGGCTTTTAAAGCTACCCTGCCTTCACCTCACCCAGATTTACTCCTCTCCAAATGCATATGTGCAGACATCTTTGTTTATAATTGATGGCCATGAATACGCATATCGAAAACGACGCAATTCCACGTTTTCTTATTTTGACAGACAGAGAATTGACATCCATCATAGGATAAAGATCACTGTTAAATATCTTATAAATACATGGCTTTGATACATGTGCGACATTTGTGTAGATAAACATCCAAGTGTTTAAGTTTTGACCTTAGCACTGCATGCACTAATTAAGGTCAATGACTCCTTTGATACCTTTCAATTAAGAAATTACTTAGTTAAGACTTATCAACGTATCAGTTTGTGCTCGTTGGTCTGGGCAACAGCAAAAGTAGCCGTTTTTGCGCATACGTGACGCGACGACTACTGACTTTTGACTCCATTGCAAAACTACTACATCAAATTTGGCATTCTTATGAGAAGTACCAATCGTAAATTCAATCAATATTGCATGTATACGCTCGAATAAGGAACATGGGCAACTGTTGTTATTATGAATTGCACTGTGTTGACTACTGGTTTGATGAGTTACATGTATAAAACATATAGATAACATTTTAAATATTGTAAGATTAACTTGTTCATGCCTATGATCTCTGTAAATAGGCGACTTAAAACCCATCGGGGAATAGATGTATGCTATCACACTCATGGCCAGTTGATATGTGTTTAATAAGTGCACTTCTAAGTAGAGGTGACTATTAATAATACTATCAAGTTAAGGAATAAACCCAAAGTATTTTGAAAAACAAAATAATAAAATATATATTCGAAAAACATTGTAGACTTACTTATATTGCCAATATGTGCAACTGTGTGGACCAAAGTACAGAATGCGATCACAAATCCAACCATCTTGTGTAGAGTGATACTTTGGTCAAGGGGCAGATAATGCGCTAGCCTGGTCGCTCTCAAAAACGTCAAACATTGCCGCAACATTAAAATCAGTATGAAGGCACAGTTAAAATTTAGACACTGACCGCATGCTCTTGCTAAAATATAAAGACAATTATAAATTTACCCATGTATTACTCATACCACAACGACAATATACCTGCATGACGTAGTTGTTATAATAATGAATAATGTAAATGACGTAATGATACATATGATACATGATACATTATGATACATGATACATTATGTACAGTATGTTATCACGTGCCATATAACAATATTCATATTTGCATATTAAATATGACGTAATGATAATCATATAGCATATTACATATGACGTAATGATACTCGTATACCATAATATACATGACGTAATTACATTCCTACAATAATGAATGACGTAATCCACCCACCTACAATAATGTACCAGCTTTCCTGTCTATATCTCCAGCCACCATCAAATGCTAAACCAATATTGAGCAGAAAATATACGATAAGGAAAACTACTTTTTTTAGATTGTTGTGAATATACCTCCATGTGAGATAACGTGGAATGATCCGACCTGATCTCTTCCTATCCGGTGGTTTCAACCAACTAGCAGCACTATATCAAAAAACAAAAACAAAAAGATTGTACGTTAAGACGTATATATGCAACAAATCCAGATGAGTTTCATTCGACGCGTACAACGCATGTAAAATACACTGTTTGTTTGTTCGTTTGTTTGTTTTTTCGGGCTGCATTCAAACGTGAATAATTGCTTAACTGAAGTATTCACTTGTCACACACCCCAAGGATCTACGCTTTGTCGCGATATCGCGATACAGGCGAAGTGATCATCGCCTCTTATGAACAGTTTGAATCGACAGCGCCCTCTGTCAATACAAAACAAGGACGCTGATAGTTCGGGCTGTATATATATTATTTTTAAACTTCCTTCATGGTACGTGTATAAAGTCGAGTAAACAAGCACATCGTACCGTGTGGGTTCAAATAAAGTGATTTATGAAAGTGATAACTCGAATTACGTCACGCATGGTTTACAATTTTATTTGGCCATGCACTTTCACCTTTTACCACTTAACTACTAATAAGTCACTTTAGCTTTACACCTGGCATATCATTCCATATGAGCTGTCACGTGAACAGGCTTTGTTACCAAATGAAATAGTATGTTATTGACTTTATTCCTCAAATTAAATAGAATTAGCGTTTAATAAAATATGAAACACACGAATTTAATAGATTGTCACCCAGGGCTCTCCCAAAGTCGAAGTACATAGGTATACACCGCTGTTGTTTCACCATTGCCACGACCGAGTCGATCATTTTTACCCCATTCTTAAGATTTCCGACCATTTTAGCAATATTTGGGTCTTTCTTGGCAAAAACGCATAATTGTATGTCAAAAAGCGCGCCCTGCGCCACTTATTTGATTAATTTCACCTGCTCTTTGTAGTAATCTGAATATATTTATATTGCATGGCGCACCAAAAACTAATTATAGACTCAACTTAGTAAAAGTTTTGGTAGTTGAAAGTTAATATACAAATGTACAATTAATCCTCCGTAATTCTGTTTTCGGGTAATGTATAGTGAGTAGTGTGTGCTCTAAACAGTACAGGGTCATTCATTGTCGCCAACTTATGAGTATTAATTCATTTGTTGCTAAGTATTATGAAGGGGCACAAACACCTGACATTTTTCACTGACAAATTGTTGAGTTTCCACATAGAATATTATCACATGCACTCTTTTTTAGAAGCTATCATTAATGATAAATAGGGTAAATATAACAATAATCTCCTAATAAATTGTGATGATTTGAAGTGTACATCGGGTAAGATGTGCGTATGTGCAAGACATATTTGTACGAAACTTGCTACTGCTAATATACAGCGCACTGACGGGTAAAAGTTAAAAATAAAAATAAACCGCGCATGTTCTCAATTAGGTCAGATAACGGAAATCACAGTGCACCAAACTAAGTTAGTTTTCGCTTCGCGGGTTTAACTACCTAGTGTTGTGTAAACGCATGGGGACTTATTTGGGGTGATCTGGTTTAGGGGTTCTGAAAATTTATGGAGCCGTAGCGTGAACACCACAATAATAAAACAATAACATTTGTAGATAAAATCATACGATGCCAGTGAAACACAAGCATATTCATTCTAAATGCAACGGACCGTGGGCGAATGGAACAGCGTTCTGCGTGCGTATGGTCACGGTGATTGTACAATCAAAGGCTGCTTTAGGTACCTCCAGATCGAAAATAAAAAAAAAATCATTTTGAAAACAATTGTTATACATTTCTTTAGGGGGCAGTTTATTTATACTAAAAGACGTTTTACTTTTTTAAGAGACCGTTTTGCAGTTGGAGGCGCTGAATATCGAATTCTTTCGAGACTATTATCGGAACCCATTAGCGGTCATATCACTTCTAAACAAGTATCCCAGCGGCAGGAAGTTCGCCCTTTTCATAAACTGAGATGAGAGCAATCCAGTCGAAGCATCGCGTTGTGTTTTACGTGGGTTCTGTCACAAGTCCTCATAGATTGCTTTGCTTGTTTATATAAATGCGACGAGGAGCGCTGGCGTTTTTTTTATCTTTAGTCTTAATATATTTTGTGCAGCCTTTTCGAAGGCAGATTAACACCAACACCGAGAGCATAACGACGCGTCATGATTTTTATCCGAAACATTGTATGACTTAGAATTGAAATTATAGTTCTTTCGGATATGTCACGTACAATCATCAAACGATTGTACAGTTTATTTCCTATCATAAATTTGATTATTTTCGCTAAAAAAAATGTTTTTGGTACGGTAGAGAAAACTAATAAAAATATTTCCATTAAATAGGGTATGCAAGGCATACCATCAACTACAAATGAATGCGACGCTCCCGTTTTGTTGAGTCGTCGAATAAACTTAACTTAACTACATAACACTAAATTAATTGCGTTTAAAGAAATAAACGTATATGGTGCGCCTATCGTACACTAACTCTTATTTTATTTAAGCAGGCTACAATGTACCACTGTGAATTGACTATACAGTCGAAATACGAGTATAATGTCAAGGCTACACCCACCTGTACACAATCACACGCATTCATGGAGGATATTATGATAGTAACGAACCTGATTGTCAAATTTTCCATGACTTCGGGGTTCTTTTCCAATTCCACTTTCAACTCTTCAAAACTTATCGTACCGCTACCATCGGTGTCAGCTGATTCAAACAATGCCGTTGTTAACATTTGCAGGTTGTCTTCACTTAACTGCAGAGCACTCTCTTCCATGCACGATTTCAGAACCGTGTAAAGCTCCTCCTTGTCTATTTGCCCACTACCTGTACAGGTAGCCATGTTGGTTCGGGGGGAAAAAGAAATGTACAGAACCTCACGTTATAATGTAGAAAAGCAAACTTACACGATCAGTATAGGTACTGAGAGACAAGTAACGTGCGCACGGCTCTGTGATTGAAACATAGGTGGGCTGTATGTTTACTGCCGACCAGTCGTGACGTGACGTGTGAGATGCAGTCATCTGTAACTATATAGTTTAATACCCACTCGGGCAACAAAGGACATTGCTAAAATGTTTTTCTCGTGAAGTCGGTTCATATCAGCATGATGTAAACAATCCATCACGTGACATATCGATGATGATAATAGAACTGTCAGGTGACATAAGAGTTATCTTTGTTTGTTTTTTAATACTAATAATGATAATAATATAAATAAGTAAATAGAATGTCAACAAATCATGTAAGAAGCCTAAAGCGCCGGGTTATTTATTAGTGAATGGGGTGATGCATTGTTATCACGCAATGTGGCTATTGTACTTTAACACTAATACTTTGTGAAGTGTCCACCCATGGTCCACCCAACTTAGGGCCCACCCATATATTAATAAGTTGCCCCTTATTAGGGATATGACATAATCATATTGTATACGTATGTATGACAACACATACAATCAGTTTTTCATTATCGAAATAAACATATTTAAAATATCAGCAAACAATAGATATAGTTTTAGACAATAGCCTAAAAGGAAGAAATTAGTTGTACAATGGTATTGTTGGCGGGGTGAAGGTTAAGCGCCCCCTATGGCGCTTTGCCATTCTAAACTGTCTGTGACTATTCAATGTAAGGCAATGCCGACAGCGAGTACTAAAATGGACAGAGTAAATTGTATGTTGTGGACATTAGAAAGTTTCCCTCTATTCAATCCATTAAGGTAGTTTAGGGGCTTAGCGTGCACGTCAAGACTTGTGTTATTACCTCGCGTGAATACCTGCCTAGTGAACTATTGAACCTTTTAACAGCGCTCACAATTCACTTTTTAAATTGCGTTTAGTTTTACATATTGTACTTTTATAGTTTTATTTATACATACTTTGTATGTTTTTATTTTTTTTTTTATTACAGAATATTTTCTCGCGTCGCCGCATTCCCATTTTCCAATCATCGGTCCAGGGTCACGTCGCTACCAGTGATTACTACACGTTATAATTCCACGGTGAATACACAATTGTGGATTATCAACGGGGTGCGCCCTAAAGCAGTGGTATGCTATTCTTACAATGTGATATATTGTATGGGTGTATTATGTGCATGCATATGTGACATTTATGTATCCCGATTTGTTACGGCTTAAACTTAATTGCAGCTTTGTGGTTGAAGGAGAAGGTCATGGGAAGCAAAGAGTCAGATAATAATGGGCAGGTAACACAGGATTACTGGTGCATATTTTAAATAGTTGTAGAGGTGACTGAAATTATGTAATTGTACAATTGTGTATAAATATGTATTAGCGGAAACTGTCGAGGGGAAAACTAGTTGCCTCTGGCGGCGCTATTTTATTTTTTTTAAAAACGAAGGAAGTCGCGGCTTAGACTGCGAGGGACAATACTTGTTTGACATTTAGTGCTGGATCTTGTGGAGCAAATTGGCATTAGTTTGTCGATTATAAACGTAAATTTCGATAGTGTGGGTTCACGTGAATAAAACATAGCGCTGCCATGACATGCGTCCAGATGTGTGTGATTTATAAAAACATTTTTTTACTGGCGTGCCCATTAATATACATAATGGTATTGACGTGCCTATTATGCTACAATATGGTACTGGCGCGCCCCTTTATGGTAGTCAATAGATAAATACATTTATGAATTTATGAAATTTGTCACGCGACCTTTTAATAAATAAAATGTATTTGTATCTCGCTTTGGGAAGTAAATGCAGTATGAACACCTTGTTGTCAAATCTGGAACTTAATCAAAGCAATCAATGAACTCCCAAAATGTCAAGGAAAGATCGGTGGATAGAGGCGCTCTTTTGCAAAGGCACGTGTTGCGTTTTAGTAAGACCACTTACCATCAACATCGTATACATCAAAGAGAAATTTGAGTCTATCTGCTGAGCTTCCTTTAAGCAGTAACTGTAACCCACCCATCAATTCATCTAACGTGATAGTGCCACTGCCATCAGCGTCAAATAATGCAAAGAATCTCTCAGCAAAAAACGACTGAAATAGAATGAGAGGAAGTACGTTAGTTACTAGGTTTATTACACTGAGTCGATCGTGAAGGAAAACACCCGAGGTGAGTGGACTATATGTCTGAACTGGCTCGTTTGTTACACAAGCTTGATAGAATACAGTAGGGTGAGCGGGCTGTAGGTCTGGTTATTTTGGTGTACTGGGACGATTGGATATAGCCGGTATGAATGGATTGTAGGTCTGGTTCGTTTAGTGTGTTGGGTTGATGGGATATAGCCGATGTGAGTAGGTTGTAGGTCTGGTTCGTTTGGTGTACTGGGACGATGGAACAGCCGATGTGAGTGGGTTGTAGGTCTGGTTCGTTTGGTGTACTGGGACGATGGAACAGCCGATGTGAGTGGGTTGTAGATCTGTTTTGTTTAGTCTACTGGGACGATGGAACAGCCGAATTTGAGTGGGTAGTAGGCCTGGTTCGTTTGGTCTACTAGGACGATGGAACAGCCGTTGTGGGTGGGTTGTAGGTCTGGTTCGTTTAGTCCACTGGGACGATGGAACAGCCGACGTGAGTTGGTTGTAAGTCTGGTTCGTTTAGTGTGTTGGGTTGATGGGATATAGCCGATGTGAATGGGTTGTAGGTCTAGTTCGTCCAGTCTGTTGGGTTAATGGGATACAGCGGATATGAATGGGTTGTAGGTCTGGTTCGTTTGG